CAAATGCACCATAATGCTGTGAGGAGAGGAAGCTTGGGGGGGGGGCAATTTCCCAACAGCATCGAACCCAGGGCAGATAATCCACGTGGAAATGGCCTTTCTTCTTCAGTAAAGTGTTACTAAGTCTGAATGTTTCTCTGTGCCTGAAAGCAGGGCGAGAAGAACAGGTTGGATTCTGCCTAAAAGTTCTATGCATGCTGCAGTAGGGGCCGTTGTTACCAATCCCCCCCCCCCGCTACTGAAGACCTCAGACTCTCTTCCACAAGCTGTTCCTAGGGATCTCCTTCCCCCAGGAAGCAGCATTTAAGCTTCAGGAGAGGGAGGAGGTGAGGAAGGGTTGTGCTCCATCAGGCATCCCATTTGCTTGCTTCAGGCAGTCATTCTCCCTCCTCCCCCACCGCCTCTAGGGCTGATGGGGAAACAGTGGGGGGCAGAAATGACATTGCATACCATGGTGGTGTCATATCCACCACTTGCCCCACCCCCAAAGTTCCTGCAGGTGTCAGGCAGCAGCCTGGCAGCCCTATGCTCCCTGGATGAAATCCTTCCATCCACAGAAATTTCAGATGGGATCTAAGCCCCTGTGTCTTTTTTCCCCTTCTTTCTGGTGAATGGTATGGGGTTTTTAAATAGATCAGGGCTTGCTATGCTGCCATATAGAGAGGCATTTGTGATAGCTGCTCCACGGATTTAAAAATTCCTTCTCTGCAGATCTCTAACACTGCCCAGTCTGAAAAGAGCTATTCCCAAATCTGTTGTATAGGATATATGGAATGCGGGGGGGGGGGTGCATTTTAGGCAGAGGTTTTTTTAATAGGGCTGCCAGACAGCAGCTGGAAACCAGGGGAGTCTGCAGATGGGGACTGGGGGGCAGGGGCTGTCAGGTAAAACAATAGAGTTTCTGGCAATTCCTAGAAAGACTTGACAGGACTTCTGGGCTTTCCCTGGAAGTAATGTAATACCATTGCCCTAGGGCAATTTTTTTCCTGACTGCTAAAGTGCTGGCGGGCAAACAGCAAGCCTAGCAGACAATCATAGAATTAAGTGTTTTTCATTCAGCTGTGACTGCTGCTGTTCCAACTTGGTTACTATTCAAGCCAATAAAGGCTCAAGCATACCTTCAAAATTAGTTCAGGCCCAATTCACATGGAAAAATTTATTCACCCTAGAATTCTAACATGCCAAGCAGAATAAAGCAAGTTAACAAATCCATTGCCACAGTTCTGTCTGCTGTAGCCTATAAGTAACATATGTCCAAGATACTTATTTTATTTATTTATTTATTTATTATTAAATTTATACCCCGCCCTTCCCCGTGGGGCTCAGGGCGGCTTACAAGGCAAGAAAGAACTTGCTAATAAAACATCAATACTATAGTACAATTAAAACATCATATACAATTTAAAAACCTTTTAAAACATTAAAGTGCTCAAAAACTAAGTTCATATCGGAATCTCAAAATCTCAGAGTCTCAGAGAGGGCAACCACCGCCCTAGCACAGCCCAAACACTCCCAGTAGGCATTGATAATATTTTAGATGTTGCCAGATGTTTCTACCTGGCCTCCTGAGCCC